CAGAATCGGAAACAGGCTCCAGGCTCTGAGCCATCAGCCCAGAGCCTGACGCGGGGCTCGAACTCACGGACCGCGAGATCGTGACCTGGCTGAAGTCGGACGCTTAACCGACTGCGCCACCCAGGCGCCCCGCTATTTCCTTTCTTAATACATGCGAAGAGTGCTAGTTCCTATATTTAATATATGGGTAAAAGTATTCATGCATTAGAATTGTACATACTTTTTTGGGTCCCTTGTGTTTTTCTGAAGAGAATGATATTTCCTTTCAACATGATAGTGGTCTTAAGCTCTGGATCACGGGAAACAAAAGGAAAACAGGGCCATGAGGACATAGGAGCGAGCAAAGGAAATAAACACCAATCGTCGGGGTGAATTCTCTCAACTGTAGGGCAGAAGAATTTGGGGAGGGGAAGAAAATTCACTTTGCCCTTCTGAGGGAAAAGAGCGTCTCTGCGGTGGCCTTTGTGCGATGCGCTGAGGCTTCCCCCCCCCCCCCCCCCCCCCGGGGACACGGTGGGGGCTCCTGACAGGAAGGCTGTCATACGTGTATGTCTCCGAGAAAAACACATTGCTGCGTGCAAGCTGGCTGCTCGTCTGGGCGGCTCTTTTCAGTCTAGTCAGTGCCCCTTCAAACCAGCTGCAAGCCTCATACATCCCTGAATATCAAGACAGGGCAGGAGGAATTTCTCCTTCTGTGTTCAAAGAAGCCCCCCGCCCCCTTCTCCAGGAGGGAAGGCCAAATCTTTGCTAAAAGGCTTCAAAATCAGGGAAACTACCAGGGGAAGGAAAGGTGGTTGGTTGTTCATCAACCCTTGGCTTCAGCCCGCGGAGGAGCATTTTGATAAACCTGGAGCGATCGTGTGCCACTGCACGTTCAGCAGAGCCGTTGGAGGGGATTTTAAATGAGCTCTCCAACTCAAAAATATTTGGGAAGCTTGAAAAGAGGTGCAGTCGTTAAAGCTATGCCCACTGGGGGCCAAAACAATGAGGGGCAAGGAGGAAAATCAAACCTACCCAGGTTGTTTGGATAACCTAGTGCTTAGCCTCAGGTCGTCACTGTCCCCTGCCGCACACTCCCCTCAGCAACCCTGCCCGGGGATTAGGTGTTTCTGTGAAATGCCCAAGATGGAATCTCCCGGGGAACTTAGCAGTTCTGCATCATCCCCTTCATTTGAATGGCACCAGGGTCTACGAGGCTCCTCCAGTGAGGGAATTCAAATGTCTGATTCAGACCTGACCCAGAGAAGCAGTCATTTCGTACTTGACCCAATCACCATCCACTGACACAACAGGATTGCATTACAAGGGTAGGACTGAACCAGAGCTCCCACCTCTGACCGGATCGCCTGCAGTCCGCTAACAGCAGGTGGACACAGTCTACGAAGCAATGGCAAAGCTTACAAACCGAGGGGCCCGTTTTCTCCTGCCTGGGCGTAAATGCCCCTCCGTGGAGGGCTGCGTGCTGGGAACCAGGTGAGCTTGGCCTGAGGCCACAACCGCTTGGCTGTGCAGCTTTGACCTGCAGCGCTGGGCGGCTGTGAGCTGTGAGTACACAAGCCTTCCTTTCTGGAATCTCGCACCCTGGCACTGCATTTCATCAAAGGGCTGATGGAGTCCCTTCGGCTCCTGTCGAGGGCAGGAAACACAAGCAGTCCCAGGTCCGGGATAGGACTCGGAACACACTGCACATCCAGAAAGGGTCTGGGGTAGCCACTTGCCCTGCGGCTACCCCTGGTGCTAACTGCCCCACTCTGGGGTCAGTGGGGTCCATCTCCAAGCCCTGCTGCTCTTTCAGATGAGGCCAGCCATGCCGGACTTAGGGAAAACCTTTAGAACCTGCACCTCTTCCAGTACCAGGCATCAAGGGGATTTTTCCAAAGGCCCAGGCACTTATCTTATTTGTTAAACCATTCCATTTGAACTGTTTGAAATTGCTTTTTTTTTTTTTTTTTTTTTTTTTTTTTTTTTTTTGTAGATCAAACGTGGTCAAAAACACAATGTGCTCATCCTCGCGGTAGAAGTTGTGGAGAGCGTATAAGGCACGTGGTAGAAGGTGCACAACGATGAGAACCAGACCTGGATTCAAACCTCGGTTCTGTCACCCTCTTTCAACAAACATTTCCTGAATTCGTGCTATGTGCTTAGTACTGTTAGTACTAAGCACTTAGTACTTCCAGGATCTGGACGTGCAGTGGTGACAGAGACAACGGACCTTGCTCTTCACGGCCCACTCTGGGGCTGCCTCCTAGCTATTTGATGTTGGGCCGGTCACTTGGCCTCTCTGGACTTCAGCTAGAAGCGTGGGGGTTGAACGAGATATTGCGCATTAGAACAGAGACGCATTGGTGGCCTTCAGTACATGCTAGTTCTATTATTTGACTGTGGCTCATAGAGGACTCCTAATAACTCTTTACCGAATGAAACAGCCTTGGAGTTGATCGTAGGAGTCTTCAAGCCCACCCCCTACGATTTCAAGCCAGACGCCCCTACAGAAGAATGCTGCACATGGGGCAGGGGCCACTGGAATGGGAGCCCCGGGATCCCAGAGACCACAGCTCTCCACCTCCCCTGGGGCCTGGAAGAGACCAGCTGTGGTCAGCGCCTACGAAGTCGGGAAGGCAGTAGGCATAGGAATTCAGGAAGGTACAGTTGGCTTCATCTTTCTGAATGCATTTGAAATCATTTAATCCGACCAAATCATTGCCAAATGTATTGATTGAGGCAAAGCAGAGGTTGAGACCTCAAAGGAGACGGGAAAACTACCTGCAGAAACTTCTGGTTTTAGAAATCAAACCCACACGGGGCGCCTGGGTGGCTCAGTCGGTCAAGCGTCCGACTTCAGCTCAGGTCACGATCTCGCGGTCCGTGAGTTCGAGCCCCGCATCGGGCTCTGGGCTGATGGCTCAGAGCCTGGAGCCTGCTTCCGATTCTGTGTCTCCCTCTCTCTCTGCCCCTCCCCCATTCATGCTCTGTCTCTCTATCTCAAAAATAAATAAACGTTAAAAAAAAAATTAAAAAAAAAAAAAAGAAATCAAACCCAGATTTGGTTCTGGTTAATAAGAGGACAGTGCCTCCCCTCCGGCTTTCCACCTGTGGGGTCACTGGTATGGACAATGGAGTATTGGGTTCCTTTGGCAGCCCAGGGGCCTAGTCTCCAGGCTCCGTGTGAAAACGGGCCATATGGATATTTTGCAGGCCACCCTGCCGCATAGATCATACCAGACAAGGTTCGAATGAGTACACAGTTGCTCTCTAACAGCGCAGCTTCCGACGGTACCTTTAGCGTCATCATCCTGAGCTCTGTCCAGCTCTCTGGGTCCATTCATCACAGGTGATACACTGGGAGGTGAGACCAAGAGTTGCACCAACTTTTTTTCATACGCTTTTCTGGTGGAAGCTGAAGAAGAATGCAGAGAACACAGTCAGTTGTTCTGTTTGTGTATACGATCTCACTGCGTTCAAGGTCTTTCACAGAGAAGGCGCTTCTTCTTGTCCCTTATGTTGTTGGTGAATCATGGCTTTTACAATCGGGTCGACCCCACAGCTGCTCTCCTTTCGTTCCACAAACACTTAAGGTGGGGGCCTCTGTGGATTAGTCACGGAGGCAGGCATTGGACACATCCGAAAGCAAGACTGACAAAACCGTACATCCTATCTATGGGGAATATGAACAATAAATACACAAATAGCTAACATGGCGCACATACTAGAAATGAAACAAACAAACAAACAAAACCCCACCCAACAGGGTGATATCATCAAGAGTAACTTGTTTTTCCTTGTTGGAAAAAAACAATTCTTTTTCTCTGGCTCCCTATTTAGTGATCCATATGTAGCATCAGGACGTATTTATCACCTCTTCCCTGTTTATGGTTTTTTGTGTACAAAAATTTGTTTTGTATTTCCATTTTGAGGGCTTTTATTGCATATGTTCCTTCCATTGTAAATGATTTTAAATCTCTGGAGGTAGTGTGTAAGTGATAAACGACTAGTCTCTAATATTTGCTGCGTACGTACGTAATATCGGGCCAGGTGAATATCCAAGCTTATTAAGTTTGTTCTGTAATTCATAGTCACTCAGACACTTCACATCCACCATGGTGATAGATGTTTGGTCTCTCAGACAGTGGAATCTTTGAAAGAGGAAAACATTAAATTCATGAAGACAACTTCCAAATAAGCACGAAAACTTTACCAAAAGTCCGCAAAAGTGCTTCAACCCAATGTCTCCAGGCTTGGAGGCACAGAGGCAAGAAAGCAAAAATCACCATTTTCCGCCATAAATCTCTCTTGGGTTCAATTGCCTCAATGCTAAGCTTTGGGTAGGTGTCACTTTCCCCAATGCCTTTGGGGTTCAATTATTTCTAACTTTGCTACTCAACTCATGTGAGAGAAGTCTTCTGCACAAAATGAGCAGACGAACAAATGTTTCCATTCCTACTTAGGAACTCTGAGTAAGACTCACGCTCTGAGAAGATAAGAAGTTAATTAAATACGAAAGAGCTGAGAGAGATTTTTTTAGTGAGTTAAATAAAAGTTATTTATCCCTGCCCTCCTTTTGATGAGAGTACAGAGAGTCCAGAGCATTCAGTTCCTGCTAACAGTAGTAGTTTTCACACTTGTAATTTAACTCTGAACGTAACGAGATGGTAGTTTTTAATTAACCGTCAACAGACTTGGTACTTGCTGAATTGGCATTTGGAAAAAGTCAGCTATTCATTCTCTGGCACATAAATTGATTTATATAGGTTTACCCAAGTCTTGATTGGCTTTCCAGACCTACGCTAGCCTCAAGTTCAATCACGTTTATTCACTTGATCCCTTCATCCCCACCCCACCCCCCCGAAGGACCCCTCCACCTACTTAACAAAATCCTGAAAAAGATACGTCTGTCAAACCTTTTAACAGAGATTTATAATTTAGGAGCTTGTTTATTGTACCTCACTTCTATCATGTTTCCATGCTTTTTAATATTGCAGTGAAAATGACTCAAGACAATTACTCAGCACAAGAGGATCTGGACCAATTTTAAGTAATGACTTTGCCTTTATTGGTGATCAATCAATGTCCAATTAGGAAGAACATTGTATACAAGCTAGAAGAAGCTGTGAATTGTCATGTACATCAGGGTTGTCTGAGAATGCCTAGCTTTCCAGTTTTCCACTTTAAAACTATGCTTTTGACCAGAATCACATTCTGGCACCACAGTAGGTGCTTCGTAAAAGGGAGTTTTCTTTTCTATGTGTTGGGGAAGCTGAATTAAAAATTTTGGCTACCAGTAAACAACCTAATATAGAAAGGAAAAGGACAATGCGCCCCAGACTTTTTTTTTTTTTTTTTTTTTTTTTTTTTTTTTTTTTTTTTACTAGAAGCTAGCTTAGGCAGATCCTGTGACACTTGTTCCCAAGAACAGCTGTCTGTTGTTTCACCAACTTCCCCAAAATAACTTCCAAAAGAACCCTCATCAATTTCAAGTGACACTAGACAATTGCCTAGAGGGAACACACATATGGAAGAAAAATATTCAAATGGAATCCAACTGGATGATTAATTCACTTACCCCTTTACATGGTTGTCTAAAGTCTATGCAGTTGGGTTGGTTACTAAAGCCGGGTGAGTTTCACCCAAGGGTTTCTACTAGCAACCAACCCCTTTTTGCCTGTTAGATATCATGGTGATCATAATACAGACAGTGTGACATCAATCAACCCCATAGCAACAGACTGATATGGAAGTCAGATGATTAATTTAACCTAAGTTCAGAGAGAAGGAGGCACTGGTTGATTTTATGGGCAGCCTGCCACGATGAAATGTCAAGAGATGCAGAGAAGTTATCATTATGTACAGGAAGTGAAGGGAAAGAGATACTACGGCACCAAACAGTGCCAGGAAACTGGGAAGATAAAGGAAATATCAGACAAACTCAGGTGCCAGGGTCATCATCAAAAGATTGACAGTAGTAGATGGGTGATTTGGCCATGTACTCTAGGGAAACTGATAAAGTGGGAGAAGCTATATTAACTTGTCAAAGAATCCCTCATTTAAGAATGAGGAGATCCTTCAGACCATTAGCTTGAGTCTTTTTAAAAAGACCGCTGAGACTTTAAAACCAATTATGTAAGATGAAATGTAAGTACGGGAAAACACACTGTCTTAATTAAATGCCAGGGATGGGAGGGAGTCACCTGAAAGGGTTACACAGACAGCGAACCAGCCTGTCCGGAGTCAAATCCCGGCTTTGCCTCTTACCAGCGGGGTGACATCAGGTGAGATAAGTTACTAACCTCATTATATCTCCTTTGCCGCCTCTGTAATGGGGATGACAACAGACCCACCTTACAAGGTTGTTACTGGACGTCAAGGAGTGTACAATACACAAGAAATGCTTAGCACATAGTAAGCCCTGTCTAAATGTTTCCCATTGTTCTAATTATTCGTGAGCCATGTCCTCAAAGTTTCCACACCGAGTCCCTTGCTCAGGAGGCCTCATCCCATTTACACTCGCCCATGGGACTCTACCATTTCAACACCATCCGGATTCTGGGAAAAGATTAAGCAATTTTGCGTGTATTGTCAGGGAGGCTCATTGAATGATTCCAGGCTGTGGTTCTGAGGGCTACAGCTCCAGAGTTTCTGAATAGAGCATCAGTTTCCAAACAAACATGTAATGCAAACATTTGCCAACATCCAAACATTGGATTCACCAAACAAAGACTTGGAAAATTGACACATTTGTTTCAATCAAAGCAAATAAATGATAGGCTTGGGTTATTAGGATGCATACGCATTTTGTTTACATTTCCGGGAATTGCTTTCGACAAAAAAGCAGCCAGCAGGTGGAACTGCTTCCATTTAAACAGTTAGACTATTAGGATGAAACAGGCATTTCTAGAATATTTTCTTAGACCTCTGCGGTTTCAAAGAAGCTAGGTTGACAAAGGATTCAATCAGTTGATCTGATTGGGTTGAGCCTCCTATTATGCACAAACTATTCTGTCTGAAATTATTCCCCTGTAGATCCCACCCAGCATCTCCGTGATTCTATTCTCAGCATTATTCTGTTTAAGAAATCCTGTACTCTGCAGTATCCGGAAATACTCGGTTTTGATGGTTGCAGCACCCATTTCTCTTGGTTTTATCTGTGAAGTCCCGGGCATTAGCTTGTTTTTTTGTTTATTATTCCTCCCATGGCTGTAAAGATATTTTATTCCATTTCTTGAGGGAAACAAGTTTTAATTGCCAATTGACGAGGTATTCAACATGATAAGGTATCTAAACCCTGAGAGCTTCCTCTTTTCATTAAAATGTAGATCCAATTTCTTTTCCCTTAATGCCACATGCTGTTATTAAACTGAAATAACGGAAATAGTAAAAGCCAGATGTCACTTCGGTCTCAGGTTTGACGTGGGGCACAATTTCCTCTCCTCAAGTTTAATCTGCAGTTATTTACTAACCCCATCCTTTGGAAGAATGCACAATTTAAATGTAAATGCAATTTACATAGGGGAGCAGATAGATTTGCGGTTTCAATTGCCAATAACCATTTGCAAAGGGGGAAATCAACTAAAGCAAAGATCAGCAGCTGTCAGGCTGAAGACTGCATCACTTGCCATTATTCTAGACTTTCCTCCTGAAGACACCTGCCTCTGAGCCTCAGCTAGGCGGGCAGAAGGAAGTGGAGAACCGAGGCATTTCCCCAGATATTTCAAACTGCATTTACTATTGACTAGGGGAGAAAAGAGGAAGTTTGGGTTTCAATGTGCAAATTCAATTGGCATCATCCTTGGAGTCATTAACTGAGTCATCTCTTTCAACAAATATTTATTGATCATCTCCTGTAGGACAGACAACATGCTTGGCCTAAATTAGAAAATGGTAGAGGGGCGCCTGGGTGGCTCCGTCAGCTGAGTGTCTGATTCTTGATTTCAGCTCAGGTCATGATCTCACGGTTGTGTGATCGAGCCCCGTGTTGGGCTCCGCGCTCAGTGTGGAGCCTGCTCAAGTCTCTCTCTCTCTCTCTCTCTCTCTCTCTCTCTCTCTGTCTGCCCCTCCCCTGCTCACTCTCAAAATAAATAAATAAATAAACAAACATTAAAAAAAGAGAAGCTGGTATAGGAGAATACAAAGATACAGCCCTTCATTTAAAGAGCTCATTGTCTCCTTCAAGAGAAACAAATGATTTCGAGAAAATAAGGTAAGCTGTTAACAGAGTGCTCCTGTAAACCCAGATTTGGAAGCCCTTAGGGTTGAAAGATTCATTTAGACTGAGACTTCCAGAATGATGGTGGTTTGCCCTATAACAAGGGGGCTGAGGACAGCCTGTTCTAGGAGTGTGGTGATAGAAGAGACAAGAAGAAAATGGGGGGGGGGGGTAGGGGAGCCGACGGGCCAGCGGGTCAGGGCCAGCTTCTGAGCCGTGCTGAGGAGTTAACCCTTCACCTCTAGGCACATTTGGAAGTTTGTAAGTAGGACTTGGCAAGATTACATTTGTTGGACGCTGGCTGTAGGGTTCTGTGTTTTTGCATCCAATACAATTTAGGGTGGATTCGGAGTGGATGTGAGTTGATAGTGCAGAGTCTGGAGGCTATTGGGAGAATTGTTACAACAGTCCAGAAAAGAGTGGATTCAGACTTGGACCAGGCCAGTGTGGGGGAGGGAGGCAGAGGAAGTCACATGACTCATGAATGATTTAGGAGCTGGAAGAGCCAGGGCAGGGTGTCTCTTTGGATGTTTCGCCCCTTGACCTCACTCTTATGGGCACGAACTCCATCTCAATCTTTTGTCTCAGCCATGAGCCCACTTGGAGTTTGGTCTACACAGCACTGATGCTTTAATTATTCTGTATTCGTCTAGTCAGTGCTTGATTATCCACACTACTTGAAGGCAGCAGCGTTGCAGACAACCCATAACTCTTCTATTTGGCTTTGGAATTAATTGCACCTTTTAGAGCAAATTTGCCTTCCTAATTAATCTTTCTTAGGCTAATATTAAAATTAACTAAGGGACACCTGGGTGACTCAGTCGGTTAAGCGTTCAGCTTCGGCTCAGGTCACAATCTTACGGTTTGTGAGTTCAAGCCCCGCATCGGGCTCTGTGCTG